GATCTTTCACAATTAAGTATTATAACTAATGAAGACATTTTGGAAGACACAGTAGACGTGGGAAATATTACTAGTTTCAATACTACAGTAAATTCGGATGAAATACGTTGTACTAAACCATTACAAACAACTAGTACTCAAAAATTAGAAAATATTGCAGATCATGATACTTTAACTGTAACAGATTCCATTTTTGGAAATTTATCTCCAAGTCAATCAAGTGAATCTAACGTAACATATTCTAATCCAGAACTCTTAGATGACACAGATGCAATTTATGGAGAATTGGTGTCATGTCAGCATTCCATAAATTCCTTAACACCATACCTCACTTATCGATCGTGGACTAGACAATTGAATACTTATTTTACAACTAGAAATATAGTCACTATTGGTGATTTTGCACAGTTGACCGCGCGTAAACTAAATAGGGTGCCTATAAAAAATCGTTTAAATAAACTTAATTTTGCTAGACATATTTTGGATCATCATATCAGCAAAAATATATCGAAATTAAAACTTATGAAGGGTTGTCAAGAACTTCATTGTAATATTTCGTATGTTGATAATGAATGTGATTCGACAACTTGTTATTTACAAAATAAAGAACTTGAATTAATGAAGCAAACAGAATCGATTACAAATACAAACATCAATTCATCTATTACAGAACCAAGCGACATTAATGTTTCATCTCAAAAGTCAGAAATTATTGAGGTATCAATGGCCGATTCAAATGATACGACTAGATCTATCGGTGTTTGCACCGATCCTACCTTATGTCCAAAACCTCCAAGTGTAGCAACGAAATCTGTTGAAGCTCAAATGGCATTAGAAGATCTTTTGGACGAAATTGATGTTAATTTAGTAATGCAAAGTGCCGTCAAACGATCTTCTCCTGAAACAATACTTGGACATTATAAGGTAAGAAAAAGTATAAGTTTTATTTATGTTACTTTTGTTTTCATATAAACCTATATAACGTAATGAAAAAACAAAAAAATATTAATTTGTTATAGCTGAAAACGAGATCTTTGCCAGAAGCAGATTTCGAAAAAGAAACCCTAAGAATACTCGGACTTAACAATACTGAAAGTTACTGCGAAGCGAAATTAAAAACTGTATGTCGTGGTTGCGGTGTTAATAAAGTTCTTTTAAGACTTCCCGATATTTTTAGTGGCGATAAAAAATTTTTCCATAAAGTTCTCAGTGCTTATAGAAAGAAAATAACGATTGACGATTGTATGAACGTTTTTGATTTAAAGGAAATAAAAAATTATGTAGGTGAACAATATAAATCTGAGGAACTGGCCGCAATGTTATCAATGATATTGAAAAAGGAAGAAGAAAGTGGTATTAAAACTCCTATAAGAGATCTGTCGTGTTTTAGTGATATGTTGAAGAGACTTCCCATGGATGTAATAATTAGTCATACTGTTGCAAACGATGAACTTATACCACCGCGACTCGTTTTGGATATTGCTTTGCAAAATAGTAGTATGACCGATATAGCAGAAACGCTCACATCACAGAATTCAAATCTTATACAAGAAGTGTTCAATAAGTTGTGGTCTACTGAATTAGTACTTTCGCGTGTAGAACAAACAAGTGAAAGAGAGGAATTGCTGAAAATTTATAAAGCTATTAGTTCAAAACTAAAACCCGAAGAATTATTAGACGCATATCACGAGGCGATGAAAAATAAATTATCTCTTGATGCTACTGAAAAATAAAAATAAAAGATTATTTCTATAAAAATATTTAAATAATCATTGTAGAGTTATTATTAATGAGTATCATTGATGTAATCATTAATCTTACATTTATATCTCATTTACTTTACACGAATTTAGTATAAGCATATTATAGGACAAACGAACGAATCATTAAACATTATTCACTTTATTTTCTTTATTCGTTGTGATATTTGGATATATAATGTATCCGATTGTCATATAAACACACAATATATTTTAGTTCACTTTATAATTGAAACGAAAGTAAACAGCTTTTATTGTGTGCTGGATGTGTTAACGATATTCTAATATTGTATATACTTACAAGCTTTTATAAAAGTTGAAGAAATTGTCGTTCTTTTTGATTGTTTAATTTATTCGAAAATTAATCAAATAGAAATCGTAAATTGTCAAGCGAAATAAGAAGAGTAGCCATTCTTTTTTTACTTGTTAATTCTCGCTAAGGTAAATTAGGATAAAATAACGATATTTGAAAAACAATCTCTCAAATAGACAGATAAAAGGTGGATTTTTAATAATATCTCTTCATCGATGAATTAAATTTCAAAAGAAAGACTATATCAAGAAAATTACGGTTTCGCATGAACTTTGATGATAAATTTTAAAGGAGATATTAAGTAATCTTTCTACGTCGTCATATTAGAATTAAGCATTTATTATTGTATATACGTTCATGTATATTGGTTATAATTATTAACAGTCAAATATATTTAACGACTGCCATTCTTCGTACAAAATGTTTCATTTCAATGTTTTTCTGTATCTTATAATTTCTGTTGTCGAATAATTAACACATGCATAATTCTATAATGAGTTCGATATTTTGACATAATTCTGATGCAACCCTTACAATTTATGCTTTTTTAATTAATTAAAAAAAAAAAACGAGGGGGAACCACATTTTTTGTCGTTTGTTCAAAGTATATGTATGTACTGGTAATTATGACAGCGGATTAAACGCTAAAATTGATAATAATTAATTTATATTATAAAATAAATTATTATATGTTGAATATAATTTTAATTTAATTAATAAAAATGTGTGTTTAATAATTTTTCATTTAGTCCTCTGTTATAATTACCGTCACAAACAACAATACTTAGCCGTATGTCTGTATATAATCGGCACTTTCTCCTTTTGTCCGACTATAGTTGCTATTATTGACTCGTACTACTGATCTACCCACCGGCAGTACGATTATTGCCACCCATGTACTTACTACTCGTTCGTTGAACTTTTACCTTATAAGAACTATTTTTCTCTATGATATTTACATCTCTAATCTCTTTTTTTTTTTTAATAAAAATATCTTGACATACTTTATAGAGTAAATTTTGTTTAATTCTAAATTAAATAAAAATTCACATAATAATATTGCAGATTTCAACTCGTTAGCTTGAAAATATCAAACAACTTTAGTAATCCGATCGTCTTATATTAGTTGAGAATGATTTATTTAGTAGACACGTGGTTTTCCCAGAATACGGAGTAATCCCAAAAGACATGGTTTCAAAATATGATGCCAATCGTATTCGACTTTACTGAAACATAAGATATCACGGTTCTCGTTTCCTTTTCCCAAGGTACGAGGAACTACGTCATGGGAAACTCAGGATGCTTATTTCTATTTGCATATCCTTATCTGACTTTTATTTATATTTTCCAATGTTAAAAATAGGATTTACGAGATGAAATATACGCCCTCTCATCTAAATATGTAAGTATAAGTATATATTTAAAATATTACAAATAATAAAGTAAATGTGAAAATGAACAAACAAATAATGAAAAAAACGAGAAGAAGCTTTTTGATTTTGATTTATTGAAGGATTTGTTCGTTTTGGTAAAACGTACGTTCTTTCGCGGATCTATATATGTACGTAGATACATATATATATATATTATATATATGTATAAATAAGTAGGTTTGTGGAATGGGCACGAATCCCAATACCCTTTATACGTAAACAACGCTTGAAATCAAATTTCCGGCCGTCTCGTGAAAGCGTACGCACTCGCGCGCATGTGTTACATTTAAAATAGTTATCTTACACTAGATTCGATGTTTTCACGAACATTTACAAATCAGTCGAGTATTGTTACGATACGTATTCCTTTTTAGAGCATCAATATCATAGATTGGACATACAAATATTGTAAGTCAAATTTATGCGATAAAAATATTTTGTTTTTAGACTAAATGGTTTAACTATATACATTTACGCACATATATATATATATATATATAAGACTAAAACTCTTATTATTAAGTGAGGATAACCAACAAACTAAAATTTGTTTTTCTGAAAACCAAAATTCAAATTGCTATTTATTATATACATTATTTAATTACATCAATCACTATATCTAAATACCCTTACCTGAAAACCAAAAAAACGACAATTAAAGTTTATTATTCCCACTTATTCTAAACAGTTTATTTATTTATATTTATAACGAATATTCTTTACTCCTTTTCACATCTGCTTTATTTTGTATTCTCTCCCTTCCTTTGTTTATCAATCGCCACTCATTTCTTTCTACCGATTTTATTAATCGATCCTTCCAACGAGAGCTGCTTGAAGTGCGACAAAACACATCAAAGGAATACATTTCCTTTACATATATATATATATATATATATATGAGTATATTATTTTAATTTTAATTGAAAATTGCGTACAATCTGTGTACGATTTTTCCAGACTTTGCAATGAGCAAGAGACCAAATTCCGAATTAGAGAAAAATAGATGCAGATAGATACTAGATAAATATAGCGCGAGTATGTTCAATGAAATATGATTGTAAAAATGAAGCTGGAAGATACGATTTTGGTTTTTTTTTTTTTTTTTTGTTTAACTCTTTTTCTTTTCTTTTTTTTTTTCCCCTCAACACGCAATAATCCTCGCATATTAGCTTCGGTCGTGATTTTAAAACTGCCTTCATTTCTTTTCCTTTTCTTTCTCTTTTTTTATTCTTTTTCTCCAACTCTTTCGTTTCTCTCTCTCTCTTTCTTTTTTTTTTTTTTTTTCTCTCCCTTTTTCTGTATCTATTTCTCTCCCTGGGGTTGGCTCGAAAAACAAGAAGGCTAGAAGCGCATGAAATATACGCGTATTGCGTGCCGGTTACACCATTTGATGCAGGTGTGCGTAAATATTCAACCATCATCGAGTATGTAGGTGTTCCTATGGGGGGTCGAAACGCCTGCGCGGGGTGATTTCCACCTTATATAAGGAGCCAACGCTGTACGAAGCGGTATTACTCACTTTTGGAAATCCGTCTAGAAAGGACGCGTGGTATCTTCATAGAAAATGGGCTTAACTGAAAGCTTCCTTGTAAAGCTACTACTTTACATCGGCGTAATCAACGCGATTTATCTTCCCACGGTGAGTTATTTTCTCCCATAATGTAACTGCGAATACGCATTTTGTTGTCGTTTTTTTTTTCTTTTTTTTTTACATGTACGTATATTATTTATTCATTTATTTATATCCCCTTTTTCTTTCGTTTAATTAATTACTATTTGTTTCCATTTTTTCAGTTCAACCTATTATTTCTTTTCTTTTTTTTTTTTTATTTTAATTTAATTTATTAAGGTCATAAAAGTTAGATAAACATTTAAAAGTATTCGTATTCGATTTGATTCGATAAAGAAGTATTGTTATTTTTCTTATTTTTGTTTTTCTTCTTTATTATTGCGAATTTTAATCAATCGCAGACAATTCGGATCGTTTAATTGACAATCAGTGGAATTAACGAAACGCGTAGGAGAAATAATTGAGGAGTGTTCGATGATAGATTGATTCGAATGAATAACGGTACGCGTAGAATGTTAGATTCGTTATTCATACTCAATTTTCTTCGATTGAAAGTTCCAAATTGTCATGATTTTCGGATCGTGATGTAGAAGATCGATGGGATCCCATTGAAGGGATCGTGATTATTATTATTATCTTTTAAGAAAATGCAAATGTTAATGGAGAAATTCGATTTATTCGGTTGTTCATTTCCTCTTGATAACATGATTCATCATTTATTTATATTTATTTATAGATTTAGTTGTTATCAGTGGAGTACTACAAAAGTGATCTCTGATAACGTCTTTCACGCGTCAAGAGTTGTTTGCGAAAGCTCTAGTTTAAACGAAAATTGTAGAATACTTGTTAAAGGATACTCACGATCACCACATTAAGCTCATTGACCTAGATTCTTTGTGCGTATTGCAGTGTATACTTTTCTGGCTTATGACATACGTAATCATTTTTTGTTTTATAATTACATAAATAAATACGAACGAATATAATTTTCAATTTAATTGGGTTATTCGAAAAAAATTTCTGTCAATTTATAAATATGATATATTAGATATGAATATTTTTTATATATATATATATATATATATACACACATCTATCGTAAAATGT